GGGGGGCACAAAGTCCCAAAAAGGTGTAAGATTATATTTGAACAACCCCAAACCACGCTATTCACACCTGCCTAACGTCAGTGAAAGTTTAAGGACCTGACGCATGTGTCATGTGACAAACTGCTTTTGTACACAATGCAACCTCAATGCAATTTTTGTTTTTTGTTTTTTGTAGACATTCATATTTAACTTTTGATTTTGATCTAAGAAAACTCATGTTGGTTACTTTGATTGCAATGAGCATACCAACAATGTATTCCAATAATTCCATGAACTTTTTTTTAGCTATGCACGTCTTGCAACTCTTTTTGCAACTTTTGTTAATTTTTCTTGCAACTTTTGCAACTGCAACTTACTCTGAGGACAGTATAGTGAGAGCGCGGGACACATTAAAATGTTAGGTAAGAATTAATTTTGAAGTTTGCCCGGATGGCGGCCGAAGCCTACTCTTATCGATTTTGGACCACTAAGGGACTGTTAATGAACGCAACGTGCACCCGGAACCTCCGAGATCTTTTGCCTTTATCCAAGAAGGCTAGGTGTTAGATCTTACCTACCCTAAGATCAGTGGTGTGGCTGAAAGACAGCAGTAAGAAAGAGTCAATGCGTAGCAGTAAAAAGGCTACTGGAAAAATCAGGAGCCCAGAGGAGGAGGCAAAAGGGATGGGGGTGGGGGAAGAAAGTGAAGACGAAAGCAGACGACAGAACATGGTTAGAGAGCAGGAAAGGGAGTTAAAATCGAACATTTTAGCGAAAAAAATTCCACCGCTGTCAGGTTTTGAACCCGAGATCTATTGATTGAGAGGTGAGCACTTTAACCTCTAGACCATTAGGCTGTCCCCGTGGTTTTATGCACCCCGCAAAATTTAGCAAAATTTGATCATTTTTTGCTTAATCCAAAAAAAAAGACATTTTATGACTGCCTTAACATCGGTAGTTATACAATGTCTAGAAAATATTGTGCTAAAAAGACTACGAACGTACATAGAACCCACCCAGGACCCTCTACAATTTGCATTTCGTCACGGGAGAAGTGTGGAAGACGCCATTTTACTATTTCTTGAGGACATATATAGACACTTAGACAAGCCTAAAACATACTGTAGGATCCTGTTTGTTGATTTTTCGTCAGCCTTTAATACTATCCAGCCA